CAAGGCCAACTTTTTCGTTAGCTAGTTTTGCATTTTGTTATTTTGAGGGGGGCGAGCTATTTATAATTGCCTACGTCTCGTTTTTTGAAGGGTGTGCTCTACCCTCGTGTTGTATCAACAAACTCCTTATTTTTGCTAATACAACACCATCAGGCACTCTGGGAAAAGTTTATTAAAAAAATATTACTATGTAAATACCAAGTGTAGGATGAAAGAAATATCATATTTGTTTTTTTTAAAATAATTCAGTTCCTAAGATAGCAATATATTTACCATCACTAATGGATGTGGCAGAATATGGACGAGTGAGACACGTTCACCCTTAGGATTCTAGCATGACAATAAAGAAATTCTATTGGGATCATTTCCCCCGTTAATAGGGTATACGCAGACGCGAATCCAGATTACTCGAATCATTGAGTATCATAATAATTGTTGATGTTTTACGTGTGGATTCAGGTAATAGGTCCTATGCCTCTTGGTGGAGATATAAAAGCATTCCATTTGATCATTTTTTTTGTCAAAAGATATATCAAAGTTTTTGTAAAATAATACTAGTAGAAAGACAAGAAAAGACAATTGCGAAAATTCTTATTGAATAAGGTAGCCTGCTATACAATACAGTACGATAGGATACATTATGAAACGATACGTAACAACCATCCAAAAAAGCTGTAAGAAAAGGATGCTAACTTTTAGAGAAAGAATTCAAGCAACTATATAATCTCTTTCCTTCTAGGAAACTTTTTTTTGCCAAACTTAGTCATACTGTAACGACCCGGCCGGTCGTTTATGGAATTTACGCCCTGATCCCCTATTAACTGCTTCCCCCAAGTTTATTTCTGCTATTTCGATTGGCCGGGATGTTCGGTTTTGAGTTTCAGAGAGTTTTGGGACACTTAGTCCCTAAATGAGAGCTTAAGTGTTGGAAAGTTGACCGTAGTCGCAACGGTGTGAAGACGGTCTCGGAATGGAAATCTGATGGTTCCGTTAGCTCCGTTAGGTGATTTTGGGTTTAGGCGCGTGTTCAGATTGTGTTTTGGAGGTCCGTAGCTAATTTAGGCTTGAAATGCCGAAAGGTCAAATTTTGAAGTTTCCGGTTCGATAGTGAGATTTTGACCCGAGGGTCAGAATGGAATTCTGGGAGTTGTAGTAGTTCCGTTATGTCATTTAGGATGTGTGTGCAAAATTTTAGGTCATTCGGACGTGATTCGGTTGGGGTTTTGATCAAAAGCAGAATTCGGAAGATTTTAGAAACTTAGGCTTGAATCCGATGTGTTTTGGTTATTTTGATGTTGTTTGGAGTGTTTTGAAGATTGGTACAAGTTTGAAAAAGGTTTTAGGATATGTTGATGCCTTTGGTTGAGGTCCGGGGGGCCTCGGGATGAATTCGGATGGTTAACAGAGGTAATTTTGGAGTTGAAGTTGTGCAGCAGCTGTTCTTTTGGTATTTTCGCATCTGCGGTCTAGCAACCGCAGATGCGGAGCCGCGAGANTAGAACAGAAGCAGCTTGAGAGTAATATAGAGGTTCAGATTCTAAGGAGGAAGTAGAGGAGATGGACCCAGAAAAAGAAGGAAGCTAACACATATAATCCTTGAGGTAAGAAGGAGTGTTATGTTGTCTAGTAGATCTCCTAACTTCAAATTGTAAGAAGGAGGGAGGAGGAATGTCAGGATCAAAGTTTAGAGTAGGAGTAGAAGGGAAGGAAGTATCAGCTTGAACAGGATCATGAGGGAAGGAATTAGGAGCAGGAGAAGGAATATGAGGACTGACAAGGACAGAGGTAGGTGTCCCAGCATCCTGGTGATCAGGAAAAGGAAAACAGGAGGTGTAAAAGGAAATGTAGTAGAAGTAGTAGGAGTGGTAGTTGTAATAGTAGAAGGTGTAAGCAAAAGGAAAGCAAAGTCTCATGGAAGACAACATCACTGGATACAAAACATTTCTAGAGCTAGATNGTGTTTTGGAGGTCCGTAGCTAATTTAGGCTTGAAATGCCGAAAGGTCAAATTTTGAAGTTTCCGGTTCGATAGTGAGATTTTGACCCGAGGGTCAGAATGGAATTCTGGGAGTTGTAGTAGTTCCGTTATGTCATTTAGGATGTGTGTGCAAAATTTTAGGTCATTCGGACGTGATTCGGTTGGGGTTTTGATCAAAAGCAGAATTCGGAAGATTTTAGAAACTTAGGCTTGAATCCGATGTGTTTTGGTTATTTTGATGTTGTTTGGAGTGTTTTGAAGATTGGTACAAGTTTGAAAAAGGTTTTAGGATATGTTGATGCCTTTGGTTGAGGTCCGGGGGGCCTCGGGATGAATTCGGATGGTTAACAGAGGTAATTTTGGAGTTGAAGTTGTGCAGCAGCTGTTCTTTTGGTATTTTCGCATCTGCGGTCTAGCAACCGCAGATGCGGAGCCGCAGAAGCGGCGTAGAGGGCCGCAGAAGTGAAATTTGGGATTTTCCTCAGAAACCGCAAATGCGGTGAAATTTCCGCAGAAGCGGAACCGCTCCTGCGGTTAGAGGTCCGCAGATGCGGAAGCTGGTATTTTAGTGAGGGGTCGCAGATGCGACCTTTGGTCCGCAAATGCGGGACCGCAGAAGCGGTCCCAAGACCGCAGAAGTGGAAACTGCTGGACAGTGATTTAAAAGGAGTTCCGTGATATTGGGGTTATTTCCACCATTTTTATCTCGACTTGGGAGCTTTTTGGGCGATTTGAAGGAGGGGTTTCAAGAGAACTTCATTGAGGTAAGTAATTTGGGCTTAAAACTCGTTCCTATGTCATTATTTCATGGATTAGAGCTACAAATTTAGGGAAAAATCAGTAGTAATTGTGGGATTTACGGCTTGGGATTAAGAGACTTTGAAATGAGAATTTGAGGGGTCATTTGGGGTCCGATTTCAGTGTTCTTGGTATCTATGAACTCATGAGAGTATGAGAATTCTGAAAATGTAAATTTTACCCGATTCCGAGACATGGGCCTGAGGGGTGTTTTGGTCATTTTACCTAATTTCACGTATTAGCTTAGAATTTAATTATACAATCAGTTATTTGAAGTGTTAATTACATTATGAAACTTAATTGAATAGATTTGGGCCATTTGAGTCGGATACTCGTGGAAAAGGCGTGGTTTCGGGTTGACTTACACTTGTTCGAGGTAAGTGGCTTGTCTAACCTTGTGTGGGAGACCTTCCCCTTAGGTTTGATATATTTGGTAATTGAAATGCCTTGTACGTGAGGTGACGAGTGCGTACTTGTGCAAATTGTTGGAAATCCGACTTTTCTTTAAGTACTTATTAGTATGTTCTTCTCCTACTTTTATTACTTGTACTATTAAGCCTGTTGTTAGCTTAGGAAAGCATGTCTAAGTGATTTAATTGCTTTAATTGTTCAATCTGTTTACCTGAACCCTGTGCAGCATGCTAGGCTAGAATTATTGGATGCCTTAATATGAAATTTCCCTTCTCTGAATATTTTCTTGCTGCTGTGGTATATTTACATTGGGACTACGGATGTGGGATTCCGGTAGCTCCCCCTTGTCTGTTTACTTTGGGACTACGGGTTAGATTCTCGGTGGATCCCCCTGCACATTCACTTTGGGACTACGGGTTAAACTCCCGATAGGTCCCCCTGCACAGTTATGGAACTACGGGAATGCACCCGGTAGATTCCCCCAGTACTGGATAATTATATTTGGGTACTACGGATCGGGATTCCGGTATATCCCCCGCGCATTGATAGTTGGACTACGGGACGGGATCCCGGGAGATCCACCGGACATATACATAATTGGGACTACAGGACTGTATCCTGGAAGGTGCCCCGGTTGTTACCTCTGTGTTGAGCTGTATTTCTTTCCGTGGTTTGTTGTCTCTGTTCTAGTCGTTGTTGTTCTTTCAATTCTATGTTATTTCTTATTGTTGCACTTATTTATACTGTTTTTATTTCACACTGTTAACCCTTATTTTTTTATTTAACCTCAGTAGGGCCCTGACCTTCCTCGTCACTACCCGACCGAGGTTAGGCTTGGCACTTACTGAGTACCGCTGTGGTGTACTCATGCCCCTTCTGCGCATGTTTTTCATATGCAGATCCAGGTACTTTCGCTCAGTCTTATCATCCTTGAGGCGAGGCGCTTCTGTAGAGAATTCAAGGTATATCTGCCGCGTACGCAGACCGAGGAATCCCTTTCTATTTCGCTTTTAAGTATTAGTCCTTCTGTATTTCTTTTCTTTGATTAGACAAATCTGGAGTTAGACCTTGTTATATATTCAAAGGCTTGTGGTTTCATGAGATTCCGGGTTTTGGGATAGTGTACTTGGTTTGAGAATGCCGTGTTGTGTATGCCGAGTGGCATTATAACTATTGTTTCCATTCAGTTATTTTGTTTTTGATTATTCCTTCCGCAAGTTTAGTTTATTTTTACGCACTTGTTAGGCTTACCTAGTCGTAGAGACTAGGTGCCGTCACGACAGTTCACGGAGGGCGAACTGGGATCGTGACACATACAAAATGAAGGGACACATATATTATTTTATATAGAGATTTGCAAGAAAGTACAATCACTATATTGCACATGTATAGGCATGTTTTAATATTATTAAGCAAATAAGATATTCAACCTTCTTGAATCAGTTTAATTCATTTTCCACTCAAAACTTAATTCTTATCTCTGCAAGTTTTCGAAAAGGATAGTTTCGTTTTTGGAACTTACAAATAATTAAAATTATTTGGTACAGAAGAATCCAAAGAGATATTGCAAACTCTTCTACTACTTTGGTGGAAGTGGATAATCCGTTTGATCCAAGCCAAGTAAATTAGGTGGGTGTTTGGACCGTAAACTCAATATTTTTTGTACCAAAGATAACTAATATATATTAAAATATGCGTATAGGGTTTTGATGCTTGTGCATCATATTACATATACTAATATTAGCTATACTATCATTACAGTCGTAACTACGTGAGGTATTACCCCTAGGATTTTCACACTGACGATCCTCTAAACTAGTAGAGACTGCATTTGTGCTACTTAAGTTCTCAAATAATGTTCAGCAGTCTCATTAGATACATGATTATTAACAAAACATATATTGCCGACTTGGTCATACAGTTGTACAACTGTGATAGGAACCATGCGCTGAGATGTGAATCCTCGTTTGTCTGCTAACAGTTGAGCTGAGACGGAAGATGGTGGTTTAACAAAAATGTGCAATATAGCAGCAAGTGGCATTCTACTTCCTAGCTTTGTAAGATGGTCTGCTACCCCATTCTTCTCCTTGTACGCATGCATGACTACTGGATCATGGAGTATCCTCAGGAGGTACCTGCAATCCAAAATTCAGTTAGAATACTTTGAGGTTTCACTACCCAGTAGTGTAATTACCTCCTTTGCATCTATTTCCACTTCCAGTGATAGCAGTCGTAGTTGTATGGCTAAACTTAAGCCTTTGATGAGTGATTGCAATTCAACAGATAGACAGTGCACATGAGGAACTGGGCCAGCAAATCCCACCATCCACTCACCCATGTGATTTCAAACGACCCCTCCAATTCCATCTTTGTCCATTGCTGAAGAAGTTGCTCCATTTGTATTGAGTATATAATAATTTATCCTTGGTGGAATCCATCTTAGATGTAACGGCACCCTATTAGTTTGCATGTATTTTGAGCCTACCATGTATGCATGTTCTATAGCCAGATTTAGAACATTGTACGGATTTGGCTTTTGTTCTCTATGCTCATATATGTTTATATTACGAGTTGTGTCATGACCCCGGTTCGTCCTCCGTGAACCATCGTGACGGCACCTAGTCTCTATGACTAGGTAAGCCTAACAATATGGAAAATAAACAAAATTACGGAAGAAATAATTTTAAAGCCGAAATAACAAAGTGAAACAGTATTTAAGATGCCGCTCGGCATATACAATACAAACTGTCGAAACCTACAACATTTTTCAAAACCCGGAATCTCATGAAACACAAGCTTTTGAATGTCTACAAGTGTAATCTCCAGAATATCTAACAAAGAAAAGAAATACAGAAGGGCTAATACTTAAAGAGAGAATAGAAATGGACTCTTCAGTCTGCGAACGCGGCAAATATACCTTGGAGTCTCTACAAGCGCCTCGTCTCAAGCGTGATAAGTCTGAGTGGAAGTACCTGGGTCTGCATACGAAAAACATGCGCAGAAAGGGCATGAGTACACCACAGCGGTACTGAATAAGTGCCAAGCCTAACCTCGGTCGGGTAGTGACGAGGAAGGTCAGGGCCCTACTGAGGTTAAATGAAAAACAAGGTAAAACAATATAGGATATGACAATGTAATCAAATGCTAACAATAGGAAGCAACACATGATAATAAGACTAACAACAAGTATAACAGAGGGAAAAGCAATCACAAAAATGAGTACCGCTCATCACAAGGTAATAACCAGGGACCTCTCAGTATCCCGAGGATCTCTCAGTATCCTCAATATGTATGCTGGGGATCTCCCAGTATCCCGAGGATCTCTCTGTATCCTCAATATATACTAAAGATCTCTTGGTATCCCGAGGATCTCTTGGTATCCTCAATATATGCTGGTGATCTCTTGGTATCCCGAGGATCTCTTATTATCCTCAATGTACGTGCTGGGGATCTCTCGTTATCCCGCACTTCAGTTCAAATCAAAAATACGTACAGGGGATCTCCCGGGATGTCGTCCCGTAGTCCCAAATTAAAACACACAGCAATAACACAAAGAATACTCAATTAAACTCAACTTCATACCATGGTAAAACAAGTAATTCTATCCTAGCATGCTTCACATAATACAAATAAGGCAGTTTAAGCAAATCAACAATTAAGTCAATTAGACATGCTTCTCTAAGTTAACAGCAGGCTTAAATTTCAAGTAGTATAAGCAGGAAAGGAAAAACACAATTGAAGCTACTTTAGTGAAAATAGGATTTTCAACAATTAGCACAAGTACGCACTCATCACCTCACATACAAGGCATTTCAATTATCACGATATCAATCCTAAGGGGAATGTCCCCCACACAAGGTTAGGCAAGCCACTAACCTCGAACCAGCTCAAAATCAACCCGAAACCACGCTCTTGCCACGAGTACTCGACGCCAAATGGCCCGAATCTATTCAATTCAATTGCATAAAGTAAATGACACTTCAAGTAACTGATTCTACAAATAAATTCTAAGCTAATACGCGAAATTAGGTAAAATAACCAAAATTTCCCTCGGTCCCACGTCTCGGAATCGGGTAAAATTTATATTTTCAGAATCCTCATACTCCCACGAGTTCATGCATACCAAAATTATCCAAATCGAATGTACAATTCTCAGTCAAAATTTGAATTCTAGGGCTAAGAACTTTCTTCCAATTTTTCCCAAATTTTCATCTCCAATCCGAAATTAAATGATAAAACTAACAATAGATTAATGGAATACAACTAGAAAGGGATAAGGAATTGTTACCAAATGATCTTCTCTTCAAAAACCCCACAAAATCGCCCTACCTCGAGCTACAAATATGATTTTCCAAGTTATGAATTCAACCCTCGAAATTTCATATTTCTGCCCAACGATTACCGTATCTGCGGTCAAGGGAGCGCACCTGCGGTCCCGCTTTTGCGAAGACCCGGTCGCATCTGCGACATTTCATTAAAGGGGGACATCCGCACCTGCGACTGCTTCACCGCAGATGCGATGCCGCTTCTGCGGTGCCCTGACCGTATCTGCGGTCCACTCCCTTTCTGCCTGAAACTGCTTCTGCGGTTGTTCGACCTCTTCTGCGGTTATGACAGCAGACTTGTAGCTTCAGCTACAACTCTCAACTCCAATCTTTTCCGTCGACCATCCGAAATCATCCCGAGGCCCCCGGGACCTCAACCAAAAGCACAAACAAGTCATATACCACTATCCAAACTTATACAAATCTTCCAAACACCTCAAACAACGTCGAATCAACCAATTCGCTTCGGATTCAAGCCTAAGAACTTCAAAAACTCACAAATTACGCTTTCGATCAAAAAGTCTATCAAACCTCGTCCGAATGACCTGAAATTTTGCACACACGTCACATTCAACACTACGGAGCTACTCCAACTTCCGGAACTCCATTCCGACCCTCGAATCAAAATCTCACTATCGAACCGGAAACGTTAAAAATTCGGCTTTCGGCATTTCAAGCCTAAATAAGCTATGGACCTCCAAAGTACTATCCGAACACGCTCCTAAACCCAAAATCACCCAGCGGAGCTAACGGAACCAACGGAATTCCATTCCAAGGCCGTCTTCACAGTGTTCCGACTACGGTCCAAATTCTAAAACTTAAACTCTCACTTAGGGACTAAGTGTCCCAAAACTCTCCGAAACTCCAATTAAATCCTCCCGACAACTCACAATAGCAGAAACAAACACGGAGAATACAGTTAATAGGGGATCGGGGCATTAATTCTTAAGACGACCGGCCGGTTCGTCACAAGTTGTCCAAAGATGCCAAAGACTTGTAGCTAGGAAAGTTTTTGAATTTACTTTATGAGGAAAATTAATTCCTTTATAGTTTATGAGCTTATTCAACCAATGAATAAGGGCAGCATTGAGTGGAATTTTTGTAGGGAAATTTCCTAATCCTATGGTGTTCCAGTATTGTTTCGCGTAAGAGCAATGAAGCAGAATATGATTTATTGTTTCTTGGTTAGCAAGGAGGAAAATGCAGTTAGGACTTATGGGAATTCCTATGTGTTGTTTTAAGCGTCAATACCACACAAGAAGGGGGGTGATTTTTGTGGTACCCAATTTTCGCTTAAGTTGTTTATGGAAGGACCTAGTTCTTCTAGGTGTTCTAACTACTACTGTTTGCGGAATAATAAATACAGAAAATAAAGGACACAGAGATTTTTACGTGGAAAACACCTGGCTCAAAAGGTGAAAAAACCACGACCTACTACTCACTAGGATTTTCCCAAACCTCCACTAAATCGCTGAGCCAAAACAGCATTTACAAAACTCTTTGTAAACCTAAGGATTAACTCTAATCCCGTTGTGGCACACAGTCTCAACTGTTGCGACAACTTCAAGTTAGCTATAATTTGAACACTCTAGGTACCTAATACAATTGCTTCTATGAAAGCTGAAAGGTACAATTTTAAATCACCTACTACTATTGAACTAGAATAAAAGATAGACACAATGTAACTGGTTCTTCTATCTCGTTCAAGTAGCTTCAGGAGTGCACACTCAAATCACACATAAATTGCTTGCAAAATCGCCTTGCTCTTTTGCTCTCAATTTAGTTTAACTTGTGCGTATGTGCAACACCCTGTAAAAGAGAACAATACTGACATTTAATAGGTTAGTAATCAGAGTTTGATTGGGACTCAATTGCTGCTCCTCTATCGTAGAAGATTTCATGATGATCTCAAACTCTAACACTATCTTCATCCTAGATTGTGTTCTCTTCATATAAGGAGACTTTCTCCCCTTATTTAATATACAACCTTTTCGATCAGATCAGGAGATATTGCTGCTTGTTCAGTAGGACTTATCTCCTTCACGTGCATCTCACATGCATAGATTGATCATGAATGTGCTTCACAAGATGGACCTGGTCCATGACTGAGTTCTTTTGTCATTTTTCAAAACTTCACCTGTTCTTGGGCCAACACTATGTAATTTAGGTAATGAAGTGTAGGTAATCTATTATGAATAACCACCATAAAAAACTTCTAATCTTTGGTTGAACAGGCAGGTTCCATACCCATTGAAAGTCATTGCAAAAGATTGCAGAATATTTGACATTGTCAATTAGTTCTTTGTACATAGTTTGCACAGTGAACTTACCACTAGTTGTTAGGCCCCATAAGAGTTGATCATGTGTGTAGACGGAGATATATTGTTTGTTTATTATTGATCCTATATCAGTAGGAAGTTCAAAAGCAAAACTCGTCCAATCCCATACATTTTTTTGTTAGAACAGTAGAGATAGTATGGGTATTACGTGACTTAGGTAGTGGACCTGTAAACATGGATCTCAGAGTTGTACCCGTCTTAAGCCATGGATCAGACCATAGATTAATATGGGTCCATGTTCCTAGTCTCCAGTAGATACCCCGTTGACAATGATGCCAACCCTTTACAATATTACGCCGGGTTGAAGAAGAAGTATAGCCAGGTTTTAGATGAAGGTATTTATTTAGGAGGGTCATTGCCCAAAGAGCTCGAGGATTCTGAAAAGTTCTCCAGGATAGGCTGGCTAGCAAGGCATAATTTTTAGTTCGCAGGTTTTGGATACCCAAACCGCCTTTTATTGTTGGTGTTGTAATTTTCTCCCAATTAAGAAGCTGCAATTTGTTTCTTGTGTCAGTGGTACCCCCCAAAAAAAAATTTGGTAACGATTCAATTTATTAATGATATTATTCGGGATATGAACATACTGCATGATATGGTTATGAAGATAATTGAGGGTTGACTTTATAAGAGTGGTTCTTCCTGCCATAGTTAAAAATATAGTTTTCCAACCCGC